AATCTGGCACTGATTGCAGAAGGGAGGGGCTTTTTCTGCATACCAAGGATTTAAAGCTGATTTATCTTTTAACTTCTTGAGAAAGAGCCTCTCCCTCCTCCAAACCAGCAACAGATGCCATTTCAATTGTAGCTAGTTTGTCATGCCATGTGTAGCCAGTCTATGCAGTCCTCTTGCAGCAGCTAACTAGGTGTCCACTGTTTCTTCCACTTCTTTGCAGAGACGACATTAGCTGTCCGTTGCTGTCTTCTCAGTTTTTGTATGGGCTAGTTATTTAGGCTTGGTCTTGTGCATCTAAAATTAGCCCCGTAATAATAATGGGGCTATTAGAATCAGGGCCATCTGGATTTTGTGGAGACCCTTGTTTCGGGCAGGTGCTGCTGCATAGAAGGCAGACTTCCAGGATCCCATTAGATAACATTGTTTACTCAAAGAAACCCAGAGTACACCAACTCGGCAGGATGAAATTGGTCAGGCAGATCCTGTAGGAGACAGGTGGTGTCACATAAAGAGAACTTCTGAATACAGATAGTCCTTGACTTACATCCCTTCATTTAATGGTAGTTCAAAGTTATGAAGGCACTGAAAAAAGTGACTTACAACCAGTTTTTGCACTTATGACCATTACAGTGTCCTGCAATCACATGATCTAAATTTGGTTGTTTGGCAACTGGCATGTATTTACAACAATTGCAGAGGCCCAGTCTTACATGATCACCATTTACAAACTTCCCAGGGAGCTTCTAACCAGCAAAGTCAAAGGGGAAGCCAGAGTTGCTTAATGACAGCTATGATTTATTTAACAACCATGGCAAAAAAAGTTGTAAAATTAGGTGTGACTCACTTAATAATTGCACACATTAGCAACAGAAGATCTGACCCCAATTATGGTCATAAATCAAGGACTACTTGTATGATAATTTTGAGCTGTTCTGTAGCCTGATGGGAAATGATCAGCATTATATGTAATATATGTGGAAGGTTCTAGGACTGGTTGTTGAAGCTCCTAGAGGTACAATTGGTCCTTCAGATACCTTAATCTTAGGTCATTTAAAAAGATATTGATTCCCACCCTTTTGAATCCATTGTATAGATATCAGGCTATGTATTGCTGCTATAAAATATGATAGAATGCATACCTGAGACTTAACTAATGGGCAACAAAATTACCCTGAGCTCTTTCAGGTACTAAAACAAAATTTTACACATTTTCTTCATGACTTTGATTGTCCTTACCTGTCTGATATCTAGGAATCTGATGAAATTGAAATTTCTTTAGAATGGTAGGCTAGAGACAGTCCGCACTTTATGACCACAATCAGGACTACACTTTCTGTTGTTAAGTGATGTGGTCTTAAGGGAGTCATCATGTGAACGCACCTGGTTTTACAACCCTTTTTTGCCACAGTTGCTAAGTGAATCATGCATTCGTTAAGGAAATCTGCCTTCCTCATTGACTTTGCTTGTGGGAAGCTGGCTTGTGACCCTGGGATGCCACAAGCTCTGTTGTGAAATAGCTGCTGAGGGGCTCTTCTTCGTTCACATGGGATAATTTCATCTCCCTTCTTCTGCTAGGTACTGCCTATTATTTTTTATCCTTTTTTAAACTGGCATACATCCAAATAAAACTCTGGTAGCAGCTATCCAACATTTTTATTTTAAAAAAATACAGATAGTCCTTGACTTACGGCCACAATTAAGGCCAAAATTTTTGTTGCTAAGTAAGACAGTTGTTAATTGAATTTTGCCTCGTTTTATGACTTTTCTTGCCACAGCTGTTAAGTGAATCACTGAAGTTGTTAAGTTAGTAACATGGTTCCCATTGGCGTCCCCATTGACTTTGCTTATCAGAAGGTTGCTAAAGGTGGTCACATGACCCTGGGACACTGCAAACATAAATACAGATTAGTTGCAAAGTGTCTAAATTTTGATCACATGATTATGGGGTGGGTGCAACCGTCATAAGTATGAAAAATGGTCATAAGACACTTTTCTTCAGTACCTTTGTAACTTTGAACAGTTATTAAATGAACTGTTGTAAGTCAAGAACTACCTGTACTTGTGGAGCTCATTGGCATTTGAAAGTAAAAATGATGTCATTAGCTGATGCTTTTTTCCTGCTATGCTAGGAAACCCAAGCAACTATATTAAATACAAATTGACAAATACTGAGGATATACAAAGATAAGACCCTAATTTCCCCGTTGTCTTCACACATTCATATGGACTGCACACCATCTCTCACTTTCCAGTGGCTAGAGAAATAGAGATGAGAAATGAGAAAACCTTGCTTACCCGGCTCTAGTTTCCATGTGGTTTTTTTTCTCCTTTATGTTTTCCTAGGGATATCAAGTTCCTGCACCTCAGGAAACTAGTCCATATTTGTGTCAGAAGCACCTACAAAGCTAACCGAAATGGTAGGCTGGGATTCATAGTTGTAGCAACAGGTGGCCTTGCCCCATATCAAATCAGGTTGTACAATCTGGGATGGGCCTAGCACACATGCTTCAGTACGCCTGCCCATCAGCTGGGGTGTAACCAAACTCATTCCTCTGAGATGAAAGCAGAGAAAGTTTCATACAAGTTGGATTTGCAGACTCCACTTGATCCTTTCTTAGAAGTCTTGGAAACTCAGCAAGATCTGAGTGTCCATCCAAGAACTGCTTCTAAACACTGTATCCCCGAGTGGAGAATGTGGCAGATGAGATCATTGGATGGTTTATCTATAAATGCTTTTCCTGCTGCAGACAGCTCTCTGGTATGGATATATTATTTTATATATTCTGTATGAAGAACCTATGGAAGCCTAGGGTCATTTTGCTGGTGTAAACAGAGTTTAGATAACCGATTTAAATATTTTTGTTTACATCTTATTTTTCTTTATTATTATGCTAGAACTACATAGTGCACCCAAATACTATTTGGTTCCATGTTTGAAGGGCTTAGTATCCTTTTTGTTTGTCTGAAACAAGAGAGATCTTCCTAAGGCAGCTGTCCTGAACTAGGGAGCCAAACTGGTTGGGGTGCAACAACAGCTGGCATGTGCGGCATTCCAGATTTGGTTTGAATGGCATCCACCCTACCTATGTTTATATAAAGTGTGTAAGAGTTTGTTAGCAGAAACAGGAAGGGAATGGCAAAGGTGGAAAGCTTCTGGCTCACCTGAGAAGCTTCCAGTGCATGTTTTACATTCAGTTTGTTTTTCTCAAATCGGATTTGTGCCGTAGCCTTGAGTGGGTGATTTTAATATTTATACATTACATCTCCTATGTTAAGCAAAGCTTAAGTATGATTTGTTTGCTCCATGTTTTGTGCGCAGAAAAAGGAAAACTTATTTTTTAAAGATATGATTCATAGTGCAGGATAGCCCTTTAAAAGAAAGTTCAATTTTTTTTGCAAGTACACACAAAAGATGCTGTCCATAAAGAATAATTCACGTAAATGAGGAAAAAAAGGTGTCATTTTTTTCTGGAAAAAATTGTGGGTAGTTCATTTATTTCAAGTCTAATTACTTATTTATATAGGTAAGTTTAAATGTGTTCACCGTTCAATCACTGCGGGCTAAGCACTTTTAAAAATGTTGCAGAGAAAGATGCTCCTGACCTAGTCATGGATGGAGAACCCCATGGAATGCAAGGGCTGTAGGCAAGATCATGAAATCAAGAAAACTACCCAAAAGAAGGCAGTGGCAAACAATTTCTGTATTGTTGTTGTTGTATTATGTCTATTTAATTATCAGAGATTTGATTACTAATTTATTTGAGAGTTAACGTAGTTATGCAAACGTATTAAGCATGAGCTAATAAATGTATTGTACAAGCAAAATTAATGTTAAATAACACCAGTACGTGAAACTGTTAAGATAATACAGCTCACTTTTTACATGTTGTTCCTGCCTTATCAGTTATCAGAAGAATTACCTAAACCAATCATGATTAGGAAAGTTTACTTTTTTTGTTAAAATCTCTAGATTTTGTCTGTCATAAGCAAGTGGGGGATGGAGCCAAGCATAGAATAAGCAGCATATCTTGTATGTATCGTAACAGCTTATCTGGCAGTAAATGCTTATCTACCCTGAGGAGAGTCAGGGTATGAAGTAATAAATAAAATTATGTTTTAATTCTTTGAAAACAGATCTAATAACTGAATTTGGGCCAACAAAATGTTTCTTTTCAGTTCTACAATTGCAAATACAGGAAAAGCAGTAATCCTTATTATTCCCCTAAAGGCACTCATGTAAGCGATACAGTGAGAAAGACCTGTTTGCGTGCTGCTGTTTTGAAGTAAGGTTATAAGCCTCCTAGATATTCTGGTAGCTATAAGTATAGATGCTGGCTATTCTTTGTGTAGATGAGTTTTAATGTACATTTTTGTGATTCAGGATGTGGATGTTTTGAATACATAACAGAGCTGTGGTTGATTGTGTAGATAGGTTGGGGAGATATACTGTAGAGGAGGGGTTCTCAACCTTGGCAACTTTAAGACCAAAGCTGGCTGAGGAATTCTGGGAGTTGAAGTCCACAAGTCTTAAAGTTGCCAAGGTTGAGAACCCCTGCAGTGTAGAGGACTTGGTCTCTCATCTTCTCTCTGCATAGTAACCAAGTAAGAGCTTTAAGGAAGGAAACCCTTTCATCTGAATCCTTCTCTATTATTACAACCCCCATCAGGTTAAAAAAACAAACAAACTAATCTTGGAGACTTACTATATTTACAAAGCAGAGTTAATTAGTCATATGCAGGAAACATACAGCAGTGGGTCTATGGGTGAATTTTTCATGTTTTCAGAAGTAAGGGTTTATTGTATATTTTCCCCAATGTGTGCTTTAATCTAGTCTTTTCCATCTTCTAGATGCACTGAAATGTCCTACTGTGCCACCCACTTTGTCAAAAGTTATGAATGATAATCGTTGCATACTGGAGAGTATAAGGGCAGGGAATGAATGGTCAATTTAACCTTGTGCTCTGTATTAAATCTGTTCTGTCCTCATCTCTCTTTCCAGCCAGATCTTCTGAATTTCAAGAAGGGATGGATGTCCATATTGGATGAGCCAGGAGAGGTAAGGTGGAAGAATTATTAGAGCGCAATCATCCTCTCCTCTCCATTTGAAGAATTATTAGGACATAATCTACTTCTTACTCTTACTCTTCTTTTTCTTCCATTCCCACTGAAATAATGGTTTTAGGCCAACCCCATTTTGAAAATGTGGAAATTAAATATGCTTTTGATTTTTCTTCATAATTAAATGCATTGCTTTACAGAAGCTTTTGCTTGTGTAACCTAAATAAATTATATGTATCGGTAAAATACCAATATGGATACTTTGCCTAATGTGTCTTCTGTGAATCATACTTCTGTTGCATGTTCCTGTCAGAAATGACTGACAAATAAATTGGGAGGATTTTTTTTTCATAATTGAGTGGCTACTCATGAGGCCAAGTGCCTTTTGAGCAGTATAGGTGTTGAATGGTTTGTGTTTTTGAGAACAAAAACATCTTATATTTTGTCTTGCTGTTCTCCTTCGGTTAATGGTTTGGCCAACAGTGGACAAAGCACTGGTTTGTGCTGACAGATTCAAGTCTGAGGTACTACAGGGACTCCAATGCTGAAGAGGTAAGAAAGTGACCTGCATGGAATCTTTTGGATGTGGTAGTCGGGTATTCAAGGGAAGAGTACTGTGTAATGATTGTATGTATTTCCTTCAGGGGAAAATAGAAATGATATGCTTATTTAAAAGAGACCAAGAGATGTCATGTATTTCTCTGTACACTGAAAAGATAACATGAGGCTTAGCTGGGAAATAATTATTTAACTGAAGTAGATAAGAGGAAGGAGGCTCCACTAGGCTGAAAAGGTTGTATATCGGAGATAGGAACTTCCGGGACTAGATGATTTGCGTAACACTTACGGTCTGGAGGTCTTTTCAGGCAGATGATCTAGATGGAGAAATTGACCTACGTACTTGCACCGACGTGACAGAATATGCAGTGCAGAGGAATTATGGCTTCCAGATACATGTAAGTGCTCAGAATCCTGGCATTTGGAAATGAAATAAAAGGGCCATATAGTTTACTGAGTCCAGCAAGGAATTCTCTTGAGGTTCTTTAATTCTGTTGTGGAAAAGATGCTTCTGTTTTGCCACCATAATGAAGTAAACGCAAAAGATGGCAATTTAGCTTGTGAATTGAAATTATTTTTAAAACCACAGTCATAAAATTGTAACAGAAAAGGATTTGATCAAGCTGAAGTTTTCCAAATGGAATAGGCCTTTGGTTTTCATGAATACTGTTGAACAGAGGGCTAAACTAAGTGAGATACAGCTTCAATTACAGTTAGTTGACTTAGGACTGTAATAGAGGCCAGAATTTCAGTTGTGAATCATTGTGCTCTTAAGGCATCATGTGACTGGGCCTGGGTTTTTTTTGCCATTTTTTGCAGTGGTCATTAACCAAACCCCATGGTTGTTAAAGGGATCTGGAAGCAAATGCTGAAAACCAACAAAAATGTCATAAATTGTGGTCATGTAATATTGCAAATGATTGTAAAGGTGAGCTGGTTGCCAGGTGCCCAACCAGCGCATGACCATGGGGGTGTGAGGCCATCATAACTTCAAAATTGGGTTATAAGTAGCTTTGGGGAAAGGGATCCATCATTACTTTGAATGGTTGCTAAGTGACCAGTCATAAGTTGAGGAATACCTGTAATACTTAGTTTATAAGGAAGTTCTTATGTAATGTTACCCTTATTGAAAGCTGGCTGTTTCCTAGTTTCCTGTTTAATCAAAACCCAAACCTGAACTCAAATGTACTTGTAGGACTTGCTAGACTTGGTGCTGTCTGAACTTGGTTGTTTGCTTACAGATGTTTCATTTTCCGACTTCTCAGGCAAATGAAACATTTGCAAACAAACAACAAAGCTCAGAGTGTATTAAGGACACCACAGTTCAGTCCTGAGCTATGCTATATTATCTTCTGTTGCCAGTGTATGCTGGCTTCCATTTGGCTCTTACCTTTTCTGTGTTGAAGGTGAGCCAAAGGTGTACCTGAGGTGTATAATCAAGCATATTTTGTGTGTTTCTTTTTTTTCCAGACTAAAGATTGTGTTTTTACATTATCTGCAATGACATCAGGAATCCGTCGGAATTGGATTGAGGCTCTAAGGAAGAGTATTCGACCAGCCAGTGTGCCTGACGTCACAAAGTATGTGGTGCATCAAGCTTACCAATAATTAAATTATTAAATTAAATCTATAAGACTATGATGTCAGAATGGGGATGCCAGAGCAATCATCTTAAATCTGGTGCTCTTTAACAGACATGGTGGTTGAGAATGGCAAGCAAAGTAAACATGGAGGACTGTGCTGAAGGTTTTGGTGAAAAACAGGTTTTTTATGGAGTTGAGTGGAAAAAGTGGAGAGTGCTGCATCTCAGCACTGTCTGCACTGGTCAATAGTTCTTCTCTAGATTTCAGAAATCCCCCTTCTCCAGCCCCGATTAAATTGGATATAGCATCCTTTAAATGTTCATTAGGAGTTAGATTGCTGTGCTGGGCCTCTTTCCGATTCCCAGAGGTTGTCCAGTTTGATCCAGTGTTATCAGTCTGGAATGCCTACTCTTCTCTCCAACTGAGCCAGGTGAAAATATTTACTAGTGTTATTCATCATAAATGTTTTGTTGTATTTCCAACAATCTAGTTATTGTAACATCTTGAGAACTTGTTCCTCTTGAAGTACTATGTGGGATAATAGGGCTGACTGTATTTGGATGGCTCCCAGATCAGGGTGTCATCTACACTGAGATCAGAGAACTATTGTAGGCAGTTTCTGCAAACACTTTCCTGAATGATTTCTACTTTTAAGCTTTGCATGACTTTCCTCCTGGTTCCAGGCTATCTGAGCACAACAAGGAAAACTCATTCCGCAACAATAAATCCCCCAAGAGTTCCTTCCACACCGAGCTGCAGCCCAACACTGGAAATGAGGTGATATCCAGAGCTGGCAGCAGGAAGGCTGAAGGGCAGCAACAGGCTTTTGACTATGTTGAGTTATCCCCCTTACAACAGCGGTCAGCTTTAAATCAGGGGTCCCCACAGCGGTCAAGAGGGAGCACAAGAAGTTCAGATGGAGCAGTCAAGCGGGAAGAGTTGGAGCGGGACCTGGCCCTCCGTTCGGAAGAAAGACGCAAGTGGTTTGAGTCTTCAGTCAGTGGGGGCCTGCAAACAGATGGTCCAGTGGAGAATCCTTGTCCTAAGAAGCCTCATGGGACTCCTCTTTCTGAAGTTCAGAGGAGTCGGCTAAGTGAAGACATTGAGAAGAAGTGGCAGGAGCTGGAACGTCTACCTCTAAAAGAGTCCAAACGGGTCCCACTGATGGTGCTGCTGAACCAGGGCAAAGGGAACCCTGAGGATGCAAGTGAGGCACTGGAGAAAGAGGTAGAGGAAAGAGGGAGATGGGTGGTTTTAAAATTAGATAAATAAATAAAATAAAGAGTAGCCACTGGCAAAGTCATCATGTGTGGGAGGAAATACCTCTGTCCTTTTCACAAGCCCGAATAATGCAAATGTGCACATTCTCTGAATTGTTTCTGCTGTTGATGGTGACTCTTTGAAACGTGTTGAAATAAGAAAGAAGGAGAAACATGAGCTTCTCTGCAGAGATATCAGTAATAGCATTTAGACTTATATACTGCTCCACAGTACTTTACAGCATTCTCTGAGTGGTTTACAATGTCAGCCTATAGCCCCCACCAATGTGGTGGGTCCTCATTTTAACAACCTTGGAAGGGTGGAAGGCTTAGTCAACCTTGAGCCTGTCACAATTTAACTCCAGGCTGTGGGCAGAGTTAGCCTGCAATACTGCATTCTAACCGTTGTACCACACAGCATGCCATCAGTCTGGTGTACTGAGAACACTACGGTATTGAATAGGAAAAGACTTCCTTCCATCCATTTAATATTGTGCAAAGAAGATGTCCCAGGCCAGGTTCATGTTGAGTCGTTTGACGCATCCACCAATGAAATTTTGATCACTTGGCCATTCCACACACATAGGTCTGGCTCAGCTACAGTTTGTTAAATAAAATATAAACTATGGTTCACAAACCACAGTGCCTAGATTTTCCTGACACACTAAAGCAAAATGGAACAAACCACATTTTAATTTAACACAGTATATGAAACATCCATGAAGCTATTGTGCAACTTGTGTGGTTTGCTCATAACACTAAATAATGTGACACGAACCAGCACACAGAGATCACTGGAATGGTTCTATGTTTCATTATTTGCAGAAACAGAACATAGTACTTTGAAGCTATCTGAGTATGGTGGTCAGAGCACAGAGTCACCTGGATAGAAAAATGACTTTTGAATGTTGCCAGCAACTTCTAAAATCCATTGTAGAAGTTGACTTCCACGCAGCAGTGATTATGATGTTTTGGAGCAGCAAAAAGAGGGAAATATTAAGGGGTTTAAAATTGATGCACTGAATTGATGTATGAGCATGCCAGCATGTTCCTATGTCATAATATCAAGGGTGTGTGGATGGATTAGGGAGTAAGACCACTGGCCTATCCCGGTGGGCTGGGACTCCTGTTAACAGAAAATTATTCTTTGGTGGTGGTAGTGGTTGTTTTGCTAAATCGTTTTTTTAACAGGTCCAAGTCCTGAGGTCACAGCTGGATTCCTTGCGTTCCCACAGTGAGGCAAACCTCCATAAAAATGGGCATATGCCCCAAGGATACATTTCTCAGGTAATGGTAATAGCCCAACATAATCTTTACATTCTCTGGCTTTTCCTTTCTCCGCTGCAGTCCCTAACTGCACCAATGCTGGTAGAGAAATGAAGAGAACTGGGACCATGTCCATCATTTTCCTATCGGAGCTATCTATAATTGATGTATCTACAATGGGACAATGTCTTTAACATATGGCAAACATTGGAAAGGAAGGGCTTCTAATGCAAGCTCTTTCTTACTCCACTGCTCTTTAAAGTAGGAATGGGGAACCTGTGGAGTTCCAGAAGCTGCTAACTTTGATTTGCAGAACCTCATGATTTTACCATGTTGGCTAAGGCATGCTGCTAGTTCAACAGTTGCTGAGAGGCTGTAGGGATTGAAATTGCTACTAAGTTGGCTAAGGCGTGTGAGTGAGTGAGTGAGTGAGTGAGTGAGTGAGTGAGTGAGAGAGTGAGTGAGTGAGTGAGTGAGAGAGAGAGAGAGAGAGAGAGAGAGAGAGAGAGAGAGAGAGAGAGAGAGAGAGATTTCATCCTATCCCGTTTCAGTCTCAACCAATGATAGTAATTGTAAATGTCTGCTTGTCTGATATGGAGTGAGGACAAGGCAGGAAACTTCTATTTCCATTCCATGATTCTCTTGCATATTTACTGAGCAGCTAAGATTTAGTGGGGTTGGACTCACAAAGTTGCTGTATCAGGCAACAGTACACTCTGTAGTGACTCAAGACAATATTTTCAATAGAAGGCACTTCCCCTGCACTCAGCAACAATTTCTACCAAGTCTTGAGAACTTTTAGCACCAACTTGTTCATTTAAATATTTAAAAAAAAATCCTTCCCACTTTTAGATTTCTTTTAGCCATGATTACAGATTTAAAAACAATGAATGGAGGGACAAAGTAGCTATGACTTGTTAAAAAAAAAACCCAGTTCCAAACAGTAATATATGGTTGTTTTAACTTTAGCTAAAGCTATTTGGAGTTCTTTTGAGGCCAGGCAAAACAGTAACTATAACATGTGAATTGGAAGGGAGAGTTGTCAAGTTTGCTTGGTGGTTGTACGATTAACAGAGAAGGTTGAAACCAAGGTTCATTATGTCCTGTTTTTATAATGCTAAATTACAGTATAGCATTTCCAAATAATAAGATGGTTGAAGATACATATGGTTAAGAGTATTTGCCTTTGAGGTTCAGGAGTATCTATAGTTTATAGTGCAAAATAGGATGCAGTTAGTATCATCAGCTAAATTATTTAATAAAAAGTAATTGGACAGGCTGAACTTGTTGACTGAAACTGTAAATTAGAGACATCTTTACATTTTGAAACTCTTTTTGTTAAGTTTATTTTTATTAAAAATATTTCTGTTTTCTTATTATAGAATACTCTAAAACTTTTCAGACCAATTATAACATCATTCTAAAATATAGCAAGATGATGATTATGAATAGTTTTAATTGATTGTCTATTGAAACTGTTCCAATCAGGGTCACTGTAAATTAGAGTAGGCTATAAATACTAGAAATAAATAAAGTACCTGATAATTATTAACAATTTTTAAAAATGAAATTTTAAAAAAGCATGTTCAATGTCCGATTTTTTTTCCGATTTTACATCTTATTAAAAAAAATTACTATAGGTTTCTATAAGGAGGTGTATGAGGATAACTATGATCCTGTATACATGACACTGAGTAATAACAATGAATCTAATTTAAATTTAAAATCTAAATGTACATGTAAATGTTTGATGGCATTTTACAATTATAGGTTGAAGTAAACTTGATTTCCCTTGACTTTGTTCATGAGATTTATTTATCTAGATTATATCTGGTTTACTTCAATAAACACCAGGTGACTTTTAATAAAATTAAATATTTTAAAACCTTATCAATGAACAGCTATAATTAAAAAGTTGAAAGTGACTCTGCAATGCACGTAGCTCAAACCCCAAATCCTCACCAGAAAAATGACGTTTTCACAGCTTTCCAGAATGCTTTGGAGAGATGGGGAGCCACCACCACAAAGCCTGATTCCAGACTCTCTAATCTCAGAGAAAAGGGACTACATCACCCCTTCCTAGCTAATTAACAGGAAGAGCAGATTCTATTTTTAAGAAATAGGTTGGACCCAAACTATATAGTACAGTGGTGGTGAACCTATGGCACGTGTGCCAGAGGCGGCACTCGGAGTCCTCTCTGTGGGCACGGGTGCCATCGCCCCAGCCCCGCCTCTCCCCGCGGCCCCCTCCTCACCAGCAGCCCCTCTGGAGGAGAGTCACCCCCGGGCGCGGCCTGCATGGAGCAGCGCAGCCAAGGGCAAAGCCAGGCAGCAGGGACAAGACTCTGCCCTCGCGCCCATAGCATGCAGATGATGCTGCGGGGTGTGGGCAGAGGGTGTGGCTGCCATGACGCTGCAGGGCTGCCTGGGTTATCTGCTGCGGCAGGCCATGGAGATGGTGCGTGGCCCTGCAGGCGGGCGGGGCAGGGGGCGGGCAGGGGTGGAGCAGGCAGGACGGGAGGCGGAGCAGGGCTAGAGGGCGGGTTTTGGGCACTCGGTCTCTAAAACAGTGGTTCTCAACCTGTGGGTCGGGACCCCATTTGGGGTCGATCGACCATTTCATGGGGGTCGCCAAGCAAGGCTGTCCGCCATTTTTTTTGTCCGCCATTTTTTTCCCCTTTTCCAGCAGGTGCCTTACCTCCCTTGGGCTGGGCCACCTGGTGGTCGGCCTGCTCCGTCTCTGCCACTTGCCAGCTACGCCTCCGCCGGCGCAGGGGGTGTAACCACGCATGCACGGCGCTCCCGGGCAGGGAAAGTCCTCGACTTACGACTGGTTTAGTCCTCGACTTACGACCGGTTTAGTCCTCGACTTACGACCGGTTGGGGTCGCGGCATTAAAAAGGTTGAGAACCACTGCTCTAAAAGGTTCGCCATCACTGATATAGTACAAACAGAACAATAACAGTGAAGTGGTTCTCGCCCAGCGGCATGCAGTTTCCAGGTAGCTTCACGGATAGGCTAAGTAGAATGCATTGCAGTATTGCAAGCTCAAGGTAATAAGATCATGAATCATTGGTGATGAGGCCTGCCAAAAAGAGCCACAGACTAGCAGAAGTTGGGCAAAGATTTCCTTGGGGATAGACTCCATCTGCCGCCCCAGTGCAACCCCCAAGTTGTAGACCTGCTCCTTTAAAAGAAGTGTAACTCTATCCAGAGTTATCCAATAGGAGCAACAGCAAATCCAGTGGTCTCCAAATGAATAGTTCCATCTGGCTAAAGTGTGGTCTCTGCTCATTTAATTACATTCAAAGTCTTATTGTTGGCAGTCATTGGGTAAGGATACACACTGCATCTCCTACCTGGCTAGGGATGGAGGTGTATAATTGTCAGCATATTGATAATACCTGATGATGACTAAACAGACTTCTCCCAGTTTCATATATATATTAAATAACATGGGTGAAAGAGCAGAGCCTATGTATGGACAGCCAAGAGTTTGATTGCTCCTCTCTATACTACTGACTGGAAATGCTCATGGTAAAATAAAACACCCAGCTCCCAATTCTGATGGGGAATTGAGGTCCAAAATATTAAATACCACTGATAGGTCTAACAGGACCAGGTCTCCCGTATTCTCCCCATCCATATCCCAAAGGAGCATAATGCAATAATCCCACATCCAGGTCTGAACTGTGACCCAAAGGACTGAGATAATCTTTACAGGGATCTTTAACATCATAATTCCACTACCTTCTTCAGAACCTTCAAAACAAGAGGGTTGGGTCCAATAGAAGTTGTGTGTCTTTGAGATCAAGAAATGAGCATTTGAAACAGAATGTACTTATCACCACCATCCCTCAAAGTCCTTAAGTACCTCCTTAGGCCAGCTATTGATTCCCAGAACTGCCTGAAGGAAACAGATGGCAGATCTTATGCCTTCTAGCATGCTGCCCATACGGTGAGAATTCACAAGATCAAAAGAATTACAAGATAACTTGCAAGACAGTGCCCAAATTATATAATTGGATTCTGCTGATGGGGAGTCAAGATCTGAGTAAATGGAAGCAATTGTATCTGCACAGGGTTTTGCTGTCATGACAATCTGACAGAAGATTGTCAAACCTGTCCTTCTCCAGTAGGGATTAAATTACGTTGGAGAGTGGTATTAGGAGATCTTCTGCCAACACAGTGTGAGCAGACATGCTGATGCTTTCCTGTCCTTGTTGTCCCCATGCTGGCCCAAACATGGGCTTCTACCAACTGGTTTGTAATCTCCTCAGAATTATGTGCCTTGATTGCTCAATTAAAACTGCATTTTAACATAGCCTTTTCATTGGAAATGTCTTAAAATCTAGTCCTGATAGAACTGCATCTGGCTGCATAGTACAGATGCTTGTGCGTCTCTGTTTTTAATATGTTAAGTCCCTGTTAGCCTTTTTGCGGTTATCTGTTCTCAGTGTTCCCCTATGGCAAACAGAGATGCATTTTTTACTAATTCATCACCTAAAATGTGTTTTTATGTTCTTCTCTCCCCCATCCTCTTCTAGGAGGCATGTGAGCGCAGTTTTGCAGAGATGGAAAATTCCCATCAACAGGTCATGACAGAAGTACAGCGGCATCACCAGTGGGAGATGGAGCGGTTGCGGCAGGAAAAAGAGCGTCTTTTGTCTGAGGAGGCAGCTGCAACAGCTGCAGGTGACACAATGCACACACAAAACTAAGCTGTAATGCTTTTCTTCCTATATACAACATGAAGAATAAGTGCATATTCTAGCCATCTATTTGTCCAATCATGTTGATAAAAGATTTCCATTTCGACAATAGCAAGCCAGTTCAAGTGCAGAGGCTACTTATATCATCAATCCAAGAAAGTAGATTCAGAGTATAGTCTTTTCACTATAACAGACTAATTTTTTAATGACCCATGCCTAGTATTTGGTACGTATTTCTTTTGTTAGCGAATTCCATTTTTTTCCTAAATAGTTAAAATCATATAGTGCTGCCCTCTCTCGATGAGGAGAGGCAAAGCATGTACTTTGATAGATAACAAGCAAGCATCAAAAATAATTGTAGTCTGCAGGCTGTAGTTATGGGAAATTTACGGTTCCTGGTTGGTACATTTTACAATCCTTCTATACCAACAATTGGTGTCGTTACAAAACCTTTGTTCGTTTTCTATTCAGAAGTGTTGTGCTTCCCCTTGTTTTCTCTTCTTTTCCTCTTTAGTTTCCTACCCTTTAAAATTCCCTTAAATGTAATCTACAGAACATTAGTCGTTGTTTCTCTGGAGACTAGAGATTTGGGGGAGCTGCTACTTCATTTTTCATTAGCCCTTGTTAGGGAACTTCAAACGGCATGGATTCTTGCTTTGGCCTCTTCTTTCCCTACTGCCCTGACTCCTGGAAATAGCAGGACTGGATTCATTGAACTGGATTCCCCCCTTTCTGCTAGGTCATGCTTTTAAATAGCTTGAACTTGCAACTGTTGATTTGTTAGCATTGGGCATTCCGATGTCGATCTTTAAAATATTTTTTTAGTTATTTGTAATCTAAAATGCATTTCAGTATTGATAGTCTTTAGGAGCTATAGATCTGTTAATGCATCCAAATCAAACTGTAAAATCAGCAGATGTTTTAATTAGATATATACTGGCATCCTGCATTTTTAGACAATTCAAAATTCTTTTGTAATAAATCATTATTTTTAAATACATTTGATTAAAGATAAGATAAAAATACAAAAAGAAACAAAAGTTAGAAAACTGACAGAAAGAGAAGTGCAAAGAAAGAAGAAAAAAGTAGTGACTCCCGACTTAATGCAGTAAGATACAATAAAAAAAAATTATAACCTCAACCTTTTGCTTTACATTTCAAAACATTCCAGGCTATTCCTATAATAAGAAAATTATTCTAATAATCAAAACCTAAGATTAAAGTTATCATTTTTTTTCAGTTTCAAGTAAAGAGACTAGAAGCAGTTCCAAGTGGAAATAAAACAAGATAAATTCTTCTCTTTAATTAAAACAGTTTTGCCATCTCCCCTAACTTCATCACCTTTATTATCTGCTCTTCCAGTCTGGAAATTAGTGTCTCTTTCCATCTTTGTGCACATAAGACTTTTGCCACTGTAAACATAATTACAAAGTTCCAAATTTTCTTTAAAGTTCTTTGTCCTTCAAACCTAAAAAGAAACTTCTGGTTTCAGTTTTATATTTATTTTAAGAATCTTCTGAATCATGATACGCTCACCTAATGAAGACTTCATATTTGTGGTTTCAAAAATCTTGCATAGCTTTAAGATGGACAATAGGCAATTTGTTAAAGTGATTAGAAACTGACATTTACAAACTTAGCTTCCTTTAAAAGTCTCCAGCATGGTTGCAGGCAAGATGGCTGATCCTGTCATCTCCTGGAGCTCGCACCTACGGAAAACCTGCTGTCCTGCAATCTCCTCATGAGGAGCAGCTGTTCGGAGCACATGTGGCCACTCTCCCGTCTTTTTTTTGTCCAGAGAGGTTCCAAGGAACTGGTCTATTCACTGGGTTCCTTGCTCTTGGCTGTGATTGTCAGTATCACTTTTGTGGAGTTGTCTTTCCCAGTAGTCCAGTAGGCAAGTGAATTTCTCTTCAAATAATTGCTTTGAGAAACTTAAGTAAAACCTCAAAGTAAAAATCTCATATGTTAGCAATTATAATTGGGAATATATATTTCTCTGTTTAACTGAATAACCTGATAATTCAAATCCTTTTAATACCATGACAGTACATTTTGGGAAAGAATATTCACAATGATCAATCAAAATAAAATGTGTCATTCTCCATTATTTAAAGTAAACCTTGGTAAGCAAATGTTGTTTGTCACCCGATACAATGTATGAGTGCAAAACTTAAGTTCTTCCACTGGATATTTCTCCTCCCCAAGACAATTTAGTTTGGAATACAGGTAGTCCTTGACTTACAACAGTTTGTTTAGTGACCGTTCAAAGTTACAACTTCACTGAAAACAGTGACTTATGACCTTTTTTCGCACTTACGACCATTATGGCATCTCCATGGTCAGATGCTTGGCAACTGGTTCATATTTATGACGGTTGCAGCATCCCGCAGTCATGTGATCCCCTTTTGACAAACAAAGTCAGTGAGGAGGCCAGATTCATTTAACAACCATGTTACTAACTTAACAAGTGGAGCAATTCACTTAACTATGGCAAGAAACGTCATAAAATGGGGCAAAACGTATTTAACAAATGTTTCACAGTTTGGCAGAAATGGCTAAGATTTCTGCCTATTTAAAGGATTGCCCACAGGAAAGATATATTTCGGTTTGGAGAAGATGGATAGATTATATTCAGAATAAATATGGGACTGATAAGTTCCATTTGGTTTTTGAGTAAATTTTATAATATTGGTATTGAGTAATTTATTATACTTCTTATATTTTTTCATTATTATATATTGTTATATTGATATTATTATATTGAGTAGGAGTTTTGTTTAATAATTAAGTTGATTATCTGTTTATTATTGTGTTTAATTTTTGATTTATTTAAATTTATTTTTTTTAAAAAAGGAGTTAAAGTGTGTTAAAGATTTGGTTACTTATTTAGGTGGATAATGTTAGATTATGAATAATATATTTGTAACCCTGTGAACAGCTCTGGGAAGCGGGGGGGGGGGGTTGGGGGAGTGGGAGGGGGTTTATTTTGTAAATGTTATAAAACTTTTAATAAAAAAAACAAAAAAACATGTTTCACAGCAACAGAAAATTTGGATTCAATTGTTGTTGTAAGTCGAGGACTATCTGTATATTACAAGTTTAGCAGGTTTTACTGATCCTTTCTGTGTCCTGACTCTCTGCTCCTCCCCTCCCCCTTTGCTCTAGCAATTGAAGCTCTGAAGAAGGCACACAGGGACGAAATGAACAAGGAGTTGGGCAGAACACGCAACTTTCAGAAAGGGTTTTCAGATCCAAATGCTCTCCAGCAACAGCATCGGTAAGAGACGATTGAAAAATGATTATTGGAATTTTGACTCACGAATTGAGGTAGGTATCTATCAAAATGCTGGTTGCTGTAGCATTTGGTGAAAATCTTTGGGTGCGTTTTGGGAGCAAATTGACTTTGCCATCAATTTTAAAGGCAATATAGAAAAGAAAAATATAACTGGACAGTAGTCCTATTCATTTATGTGTTTATTTAAATTCAGTTTTTGCCTACCTCTACGGCAGTGTTTCTCAACCTTGGCAACTTGAAGAGGTATGGACTTCAATTCCCAGAATTCCCCAGCCAGCACAGCTGGCTGGGGAATTCTGGGAGTTGAAGTCCATACCTCTTCAAGTTGCCAAGGTTGAGAAACACTGTTCTACGGTATGTCATTCTTTAACACAGCCCCCATGTGCTTTTGGGATGCATCCCCCCCCCCCAGCTCATTTAGCTAAGTGCAACTCTTTTCTAGGAAAAGCTAATGACCTTTTAGTTTTCACTTGTTTTCTTTCAACAGATGGGGCCAGATAGGTCTGTAATTAAGTGGGACCCGTAAGGCTCTTTTGCACCAGAGATAGCCTAGAGAAGGAACTCTGACAACTCAAAAAGATGCCTAGGCACACCAAACCTGGACATGGGGATGATAGTAATAGGCTGTATTTGTATAGATTAGCCTCTGTCTCATGACGGCTATGTTTTGTTCAGGAGTTGCAAAATAAGATTCTTATTTTGGAAGAGACCGGATTGTGAGAAGACTAAGCACAAAAAACTTATTGATGGCAAAATTATGGTATCTGCTGCAGGTCTGATGTGGAGTCTCTGAAGCGGGAGTTGCAAGTGCTTTCAGAACAGTATTCCCAGAAGTGCCTGGAGATTGGGGGCCTCGTGGACAAGGCAGAAGAACAGGAACAAATGTTGCAGCGTTGTCAACAGGAGGGGAAAGAGCTGCTTCGGCAAAACCAGGCAAGGATGGTGCTGCCAATAGCAGGAATTCTGAGGGAAGAACAAGGACAGAGCAAAGCAGCATTCATGAAAGGAGGACAGTTGCAATCTCCTTAATTTAAAATTCAAATTAAATTTAAATACCAGTGAGCTTTCCATTCGTCTTACCTGGTGGTCCTTGTCTTAGCAGCTAATTCTGGGAGATTTGGCAACCGTTTTTGTGATGTCAGCCGTAGATCTGTATGGAATCCCTAGGATGCTGAGTCAGATTGAGCAATAGAATAGTAAACACTATTGAGCTCTGGAAAGACAAGCTTTGTAGAGAGCCCTGGCAACATTCAGCCTAAGATGTTTCTTCTCAAGACTGCACAAATGAAGATTGGTAGCAGGCCATTGTGTAAAAATGGTGCAATTATCCAGAGCCTTTTGTCAATATAAGACAGCGGTTCTCAACCTATGGGTCGCGACCCCATTTGGGGTCGATCGACCATTTCACGGGGGTCGCCAAGCAAGGCTGTCTGCCATTTTTTTTGTCCGCCATTTTTTTCCCCTTTTCCAGCGGGTGCCTTACCTCCCTTGGGCTGGGCCAGCTGGTGGTCGGCCTGCTCCGTCTCTGCCGCTTGCCAGCTACGCCTCGGCCGGCGCAGGGGGCGGAACCACGCATGCGCGGCGCTCTCGGGCAGGGAAAGTCCTCAACTTACGACCGGTTGGGTAGTCCTCGACTTACAACTGGTTTAGTCCTCGACTTACAACCGGTTTAGTCCTCGACTTACAACCGGTTTAGTCCTCGACTTACGACCGGTTGGGGGTCGCGGCATTAAAAAGGTTGAGAACCACTGATATAAGAAGTTAGACAGCCATGGCTTTGCTATATGTAACTCATCTTTTAATAACTTAAAAAGTTAAAAAATTGAAGGAGCAAAGCCAGAAACAATCTGTCTCCCTTGAGGACATTACCAGATGTATTCCCTCCATGGCCCTCAACTATTGAAAAAAATGTTTAAAAGACTACAAGCTGCAAAAAAAGGCTTCCTTACTTGTTTGATGAATATGTTAAACTATTTCATCCTCGTTCTTCCAGGAGTTGCAGAGGCGTCTTTCAGAAGAGATTGGCCAGTTACGAGACTTTATTGCTGCTCGGAGCTCACGTGATGGTGCTTCACACAATGAGAAGAGTTCTTGTGAGCTAGAGGTAAGGAGGAGGGTTGCTTGTTCCTGATACTTTTTGCCTGTCACATTTTCCATTTTCTTTGTTTCAGGCATAAACTGGCTATGTAATATTGTGAGTAAAACGAATCTCTGCTGAATCCAGAAGCAGATGCACACAGCTTTTGCGGCAACAAATAGCTAAGGTGGAATCGGTTTTTAAAAGGGGAGATCTGGGAAATTATAGGTTAGCCAACTTAATGTATCTTCAAGACAATTGATAGAAATAGTAACCAAGGACATAAAGAAAATCAAGAGGAAAATCAATCTGGATTTTGTCAAACTTCTAAAATGTTTTTTTGTTGTTGTTGTTGTTTGTTTCTTGAAAAAGCCACCAGGCAGTAAGGAATGGTTGAACAAACATGGTTGAGCAGGTTACAAGAACCAAGCCATAGAAAATGAGTTTGTTCATGAACACTATCAATTTCCTGCTTTGTATCAGACATCATTTTAGTCTAAAGGGGAATACTTGGGCAACCTAATTTCTGAGGACAGTATCTCACCCATCTTATCACATTGAAGGTGTTTCTATTGTAGACAATTGTGTCCTGAACATTTCCCTTTCCATCTTTCTTCTGAAGGTGCTTCTTCGAGTGAAGGAGAATGAACTCCAGTATCAGAAACAAGAAGTCCAATGTCTGAGGGATGAACTCCAAATGATGCAGAAGGTAGATTCCTAAAAGCAAATCAGAGTTGCTGGTTTGCTAGAAGTACATACACACATTGGCACAAACCGATCACTCCATTCCCTCTAACAGTATGCAGTGTTATCCAAAGAACAGAAAAGTAGCAAGCTAAAGAAATTAAGGGCATCAGGTAGAAAAGGAAACCCAACTAAAGCCATTTTGCACCAAATCATTCTGTGTATTGCTCCATACCTCTCTACCCTGGGAGATCACCTTTGCTTCCAATATATCCATACTCATTTTATACTCTGCCTTTTATTCTTTAAATTGTTTGGCTCTCTTTTTTGAAGATCATATCAAATCTCTAAATTCTCAGTCATTCTTTTCGTCTCAACTTACTTCATTTTTTTTTTGCAATTTGATTCTCATTGTTTATGATTGACTAACACATTTCTTTCATACTAGTCACTTACTTAATATTCAGCACACATTCATTCTTAACTCCCCTCGATCTCATTTTATCATATTACATTGCATTCAACTTTGTTTCTCTCCTGATGGGCCTAACATAAAACAAAGTGAGCAAAAGGAAGCTCTTATATGCAGCTATTGTCTTTTGATGAACATTCACTTCTTGCAATAGACCTATCTACTATTTCTCTAGAAGCATTTGCATATCTCAACATTTCTATATCCAGGTTCCCATCTCTAGCTAATGTTCTACAACACTGATGTACAGATCATCTATTTGCTTTACTTTTTGCCATTTATGTACTACTTGCAGACATTTAGCCAATTTTCCCTGCTATCCACAGCTACCGTTGTGTTTGATGAATTAATTTTCATATCCATACTCCCTGTTGCATCACACAATCTAATATTCAAATCATTCGACTTCTCAGCCAACACAATATCATCTGCCTATTTTAGCATGTTTGTATTCCTCTTAACATCTCTGCAAGTCGATCAACACTTTAAACAACCAGAAGAACATCCAGCATCCCTGTCTTATGCTCCGTTCAATATTGAGCTACGTGCTAAGCATTTATTCTTACATATGCTTTCTTGCAATCATATACCACTGTTATTACATTCAGCAGCAAACCTCCAGCACAAAAGATTCCACAATTCAAGCCTGTTGTATAATTAATAACATGTACTTCCCCTCAGAAGATGCCTGTGTCTCTCATTTGTATCCTTGCTTTCTAATCTTTCTGGACAATGGTCCTTCCTTCCCCATGCAGGACAAGAAGTTTGCCTCAGGAAAGTACCATGATATCTACCTGGAGCTGAATCACATCAAGCAACGATCAGAACGAGAGATTGAACATTTGAAAGAGCATCTGCGCCTGGCCATGGCAGCCCTACAAGAGAAAGAGATGCTGCACAACAATATTGGTATAAAAGATACGTTTGCATTACAGACACATGTTGTGTAAAGTGGAGCTAGTCAAGCTGCAAAGGCAGAAGGCGTTGGTGCCCCTTTTATCTCCAGCAGCAGAGATGCACCTTGTATTGGCTATCTTGCTGATTGCTTCACAGTGTTCAAAAACTTTCTCTTTGCCTCCGCTTCTCTCTCCTCCCCTATTCTGTATGCCAGAGGACAAATGTATAAACAAGTTGCTTGTAGAATTCTCCATGAAATCAGGTGGAAAGCCACAGGTTGGTCACTGCTACTGTATTAGTCTAGTCAAGCTCAGTTTCATTTTGCATCTAAAATAAGGATGTTACAGCTACAATATATAAATTGTCATCACCAAGACACTCCAAAGGTTTTAGAGAAGGTAATCAGAACCGTACCGGTGTTCAGGACGATACATCGTTTCTATTGTGAAAAACTCGTATTAAGTTACAAGAATTAAGATGAAGAAAGAAACAAGGCATCCAATCAATGAAAAGACACGTGGTGAAACCTCTTCTCTCGTCGCAAGGAAAGGGCCTCGTGGCCCGCTCTGAAATGGTTTATTGGTCGTGTACGTTCTGCATCACTTGGGCATGTTTTGAGCTGGATTCTATTACTAGCACCTTTTGGGGACTTTATAAATGAAAATAATTTTTATATTTTGGGGGGTGGGGATATGTTTTAAAATCTTATACTTACGTTTCCCAGCAGTTAACCACAAAGGCGGACCAGATATTTCTCCCTAAAGTTCCTTTAAACCTAATTGTTCCTTCTCCCAAATATTTAGCTGTATTTACATTAAAAGTGTTTATCTGCTTCCAGTTTTCTTTCAAGTGGAGAAACAAAATCACACAACCCTCAACTTCAGGTTGTACAGTGTTGCTTCACGGCAGTCCATGTTGGAGATGCACTGTGCTGAAAGAATGTTCTATTGATTACATTGTCAATGGAACTGGTTTGTCCAAAGACCATGCAGAGTTTAGGATCCATAAGTAGCAATTGTTTTCAGAACAATGGAAGATATTTTTTTAATGTTAATTAAATGTCTGTGCATCCCATTGTAAACGAAGTCTTCATCCCCGAAAGTTGGGTTCAACTAATGCGTTCTCATGGGGAGGAATTTCACTGCTGATGTTGCCAGAGCCAAACAAATGAAGGCAGCTGATTTTCTTTTATTTCTGCAGAATTAACTTAATAAAATCGTTGACTATAGAAATGTGTGGTTTTTGCTTGGCAGCAGAAGGTATAAATGTTGAACCATTTTGCATTCTCAAAAGGTTGGTGCTGCTTCTTCTATCTTATCATTCTTGGCACTTCATGCTCTTTGGAGGTTCAAAGCATTTTCCCTGTTTTCTCTCTAATCTTAGAAATATTTAAGGCAGAAATAGGGGGGGAGCTTTATTTACATTTTGGATGACTTGCAATAGATCAAATACTTGACTCCAAATTGTTTGGCAATAGCAGCAGGAAAAAAATTTCCACTCCTAAATTCATCTTTTATAATCTGTTCTGCAAATGTAGTTTTTCATTAGTTAATTTGGCTCTATTTAATAGACTCCGCAGTCCTAAAAAAAGAAAGAGTAACTATAAAATCTGTCCATACTTGCTGCACGATAGGTAAACCACTAATGTTCCTGTTACTTAGGACTATTTCAGTAAGTGGCGACACCAAGTTGAACTTGTCTGGTTAAGAAGGCCTTGGCCTATTTAATAATTGAGTGGGATATTATCAGGAAATCCCAGAATGGCAGATTCAAATGACAGGTCAAAAAAACATCCCAGAAGAAAATAACCCACTTCTCTATTGTTGCCAAGAAAACATGTCATAAAATCACCAGATACTGGGCTCAGTGTGGAGACTCTAAATATCCCTTAAGTAGAAATGCAACTACATATTTGCAGCAGTTACAATGTGCTCCCCAAATATTTTCCTTCATTATCCAAAACTGCTTATCAGAAAGTCCTTTTTACCAATATAGATAAAACATTTTTAAGTCAATTTAATTATGTCCCACTTGTGATTGAGTAATAGATTTATGTGTTGTCACCTAAAGAAAACCCACTTTTACCCAATTTGGGGTAATTTACTAAGGTTTGGGAAGCATAGTTAAAATTTCCAAACCTCATCTTGAACTTGACCCCAAATCACCCAGTTTTTGTATCTTAATGGGAACTTAGGAACTTGAGTTTCTCTATTCCTATCGTATGCTGAGCATTTTACATCAGTGAAATACCACATCTGAATGCAAAGGTTATGTGCAAACTGTTTAAGGTATGCAGATAAAGATTCTATTATTGCAAATCTATTATAAAAATATGTTTTGAATTTTGTTAAAATGCTGTTATCAGTAGTGAATATTCCAAAAATTATGAAAGACATTCTTGCTCTCTTACAGATATTCTCCCACCCACAATTTGCCTTTTTAAAAAAAAAAAAAACATGCTCTGCATTTAGTACAGTCTTTGTATTAATTATATTACACAAGATCAAATTTCAGAATTAAAAAAAATCAAGGCCATACTAGCATTCTATCATGCAATTAGATAGCCCACAATTGGTCTCATTTTCCCATATAAAACAAGCACAGATGTGTTTTTTAACATGCATGGCTTTATCCAAGTTTTTTTTCATGAGATACAATTCCAGTAAGTTCATAACATTTCTTGTATAATAACTGGCATGTCAGGCTTCTCATTTGAGATATGGCAAAATGATAAGTTCAGTTTAAAACTAATTAGCAATTTCAAGTATGCTGTAATTTCATGTTTTAAAAAAACAGGTATTTCACAGCTACTTAAATCCTCTCCCTCTAAAAACGACCTTGACTGAACCAAGAGAATATAGTTTACATATATACTGGAGTCCAGTTAAGGAAAACTTTGTTTCTCCAACCTCACAGTGATGAATCGTGGTTTACTCTATCCAAATCAACCATCGTTAATAGCATGGCTGAAAGGTGATTGTGACTCAATTTGTCGCACTAACAACAGCCATGAAAAACCACGTAAGGGAAAGTGTCGCTCTTGCGAATTATATTTATAAGATACGGTTGGGTTTTAAATATAGCTAAAAGTCACCTTAAGGAAATCCTACTAAAAATCGTCACCTGTTATCTGAAAAACCATCATTTTCATTGCAAAGAGAGCCGCGTACGTGTCCCCCGATCCAGCCATTCCTTTATTCTTTCATTGATTTCGTAAGTCGTCCTTCGCAATGCCTTTCTAAAGCAGCGGATGGGGATGACGCCGAAAGTAAACTCAAAATAATGTCGTGAAGCAACTGAGGCACGTGTGTCCAGTACCCATCTCTGGCTTCGCTATGGGCAGGGGTAGGCAACCTCGGCTCTTTTATGACTCATGGACTTCAACTCCCAGAATTCCTGAGTCAGCTATGCTGACTCAGGAATTCTGGGAGTTGAAGTCCATGAGTCATAAAAGAGCCGAGGTTGCCTACCCCTGGCTATGGGAAACAAAGGAAAGGGGGGGGGGCTAGCCTCTTTTGGGCGATGCGTGTAGTCTATGCCGAGGAGGAAGCGTGTGTGATCATCCAGAAGCATTTGATTGTCGCCGTCAAAGACGAATTATAGGGAGGACTAACATTCCTGTTTCTTCGATTCTTCCAATGTTGGCGCTGTCAAGTAAGGTAGAAGCCTTCCTTCTCCGACTACATTTCCCATAAAACATTGCTCTCACGTTGTACGGTGGCTCTTTAGCCATGCAAAGCACTTTGACTGATTCCTCTCCCTCGGTAAGAATTAATCAGCTGATTGCTGAGAGCTCTTCAAAGAAACTATTGCTATTGTCAACAGAGAACTGTCAACGCGCTTACATCCCATAGGGCTTTTTTTTTATTATTATCGCTGGCTCTTATCGAAATCCTTTTAAATTCTTTAGCACATACTTACACGGCTCATACAAAACTACTTTCCTGAGATCTTGGCTCGTAATAAACACCAAGGAAGCAAAACCCCACTTTATAATTTCAATAAATTAAACATTATTTCTTAACTTTCGGGAAACATGTTTTAAAATTTTGTGTAACATTTTTGTACCTTTGATACCTTATGTGAATCCTGTAAGCAAACCCTCGATCTTACCGATTGATTTTGTACATTCCCTTGCCATTTTACAATTCTGGAATATGGGGAAATTTGAAATTTAATGGACTGGCGTAATCTTTTCCCCCATTGTGTTCTTCGCAATTTTTCGGTATAATGAGTCAAGGGAAAAGGCAACGTTAAAAGAAAAGTTTTACATGAGTGCGTATCCCCCCCCCGGGTTTTTTTTGTCAACTGTCCTAATTAAAAGCAGACTGGATTAAAAATATTTTTAAATAATGTGCAAGCTACTAAGATAATGATAAAAGGTAGAGATTAATGAGCCTAGAGTCTAATCATTTGACAAAACAATAAGATTAGCAATCCCAATCTTGTTCCACGATGTTGAAGTCAATGAAATTAAATCGAGATAGACGGGCCGGGGGCTGGGGCCAAGACCCTTCCCCACCCCTCTATAGCCATCAACTTACTTGGAAGTCATCGAGCAACCTCGGGAGTTAGAGGTAGTAGAACAAGCTACCTTTGGTTTAACTCCATTCTTTTGTCTTTTATCCCCCCCCCGTCCTCCCCCACGCCATCGGGGTCTTTACTTACTTTCTCCAAATCGAGGAACGCCTGTTTGCCCCCTTCCTTTTTGGAAGTCTAAGGAAGCTAGCTACCCAAGAGAAAAAACGCAGGCATTGCAAAGGTGCTGACGTTTTATTATTCGCATTCTACTGCTGCCATATAACTGCATCTCATGGTTTTGTACTTAACAAAAACAAAACAGACATAGTGCTAACTCAATTTTTGGAACTGAGAAGCGACGGGGTATTTTGGAAACGGGAAGAGGTGCGAATGTACCTGGACGTGTATTTTTTTTGGTGGTGTTCTCCGTGTTGCTAGGATGCCAGTTCGATCTTATAATTCCTTCTTTTTTAAAAAAAGTATTCAGAGGTGTGCTTTTTTAACTTTTCCTCCCTAGTTTTTCCGATACCACAAGCCGATACTTAGTAGCTCCGAGTCTTTCAGGTTGCAGCCCCGACGCTTTCCATTAATTTCTTTATTAACAACAACAATAACAACAACAACACTCCTAAGAGGGGAGAAGGGGGGGAAAAACAACCTCAGTTCTTCCAGCAAGATGGCGATTGCACGTACATGTAGTCTTCCAACAGTTAAGCCCTCCGCCAAGGCTGGCAAATTAGGGTTAATTCATTTAGGAAACGGCTCTTCAAACCCCTGTCGCCTCTTACCCCCTTCCCTTCTCGGGAACTTATGTTGAGAAAGTGTTTAAGTAAGAGGGGAGGCTCCACCTTGAAAAGCCC